GCATGCCAGGTGAATTTAAAAGTACCATATTTTATCCCTCCTGAAGAAGTAACAACAGGATACAAGCTTTTACCTGCAAGCTTGCTTTCAAGATCAGGGCTTTGGTTTTCTAAAGCAAGATAGTAAAAAAGAATTTTGCAGCTGTGCTTTTTAAGTCCTTTTAATTTGATATTTATAGATGCTTTTTAATGTTATAATAATATGAGATCTTTACTGGTGAAATGAAGCACAGGTAAAAAATAGTGTTTTCTGTTTCTAGATATGCACATTAAGAACTGCTCTAGTACTACCAAGAAATGAAGCCTTTTGCAAGGTTTATGAGTGAAATAGCCTGTTCTACAAAGCGTCACCAATAAAATAAATTATTCTGCACAGCATGGATTTAATATTGTATCTTGAATTTGGCATACCCCCATGGTTTTCAAAGTTCATAATTCAATAGGAAAGCCATGAATTAATCTTCTGCTAAAATCCACCCTCCATCTTTCTGAAAGGTGTCTTCCTTTTAAGAGAAATTCCTTTTTTTTTTTTTAAACCTCATTCTCAGGATGGTTTTGAACTTCTTTAGTTCTGTTAGTCTACAAACTCCATCCTCCCCAGCAAGGCATATGAGGATGTCCTATACACACAGACCAGAGATATAAAGAGAAATAATAAATAAACAGTACACGTGGAAGGCTTTGAGTCACAGCAGAACGAACTGAAGGCTATCCATTGGGTAAAAGTACCAAAAAGATACCTTTTGTAAAAACATGGAATGTAAACAACGCATTATCCTTTAAAAGGGAGGATGAGAATGAACTAATTGATTCCCTGGATACATTCACAAGATGATAAGCTCTACATCATGTTAGAGGCAAAATCCTTGAAGTTGGCCATTCCAGCAGGAGACTTCACCGGAGGACAGCTTAGCTCATTCTAGTTGAGCAAAACATACAACATCATCAACGGTAAAAGCTACCACAATACAAGCATCACCGTGATACCAATTGCCCACGACGCAGTCATTTGGCACCTGTTGCTTCTGTTGCTTTTCTTGTTAGCATCGTTTATTCTTAGCTGCAGAAGGGGATCCTAGCTCAGATTGCTAATTATAATCTGTATTTCTCCAAGCACCTCTGCCTCTGACACTGACAAATGGGCAAGTTTTAGCAATGCCCAGTTTCCCAGCTACATCAGACAGATCAGGGAGATCAATGTTAAGCTTTATTCATGTTACACACACACACTGTGTGTACGTGATGTGTATGTATGTGTGGGGGGTTGTATACTGGTCTCCCATCCACTGTTCTACAAGTAAATATATAGCTTGCAAGATTCAAAGCATATCACCAAGGGCAGCCTAGAACCTCATTAAAAATCTCCTTTGAGTGAATCTCTGAATTCCATACCGCTAGTAATTACCAACAACTGAAGGAGGGCGCTTGCTGCCCACCCCAAACTATTAAGAGGTACCGGGGGACAAAGATGGAGTCTCTGGAGCTCTGCCTGAATTCTCTGAATCTCCAGCTATTGGTCCTATGTAGACTTCCAAGTTTTTCAGTCTGGACTTTCATTAGCTTCTGCTCCTTCATACGTAAGGTTGTTTTTTTTTTTAATTAATTTAATTCCTTCAATATGCAAAAGGGCAGAGGAGAGAGAAAATGAGAATGAGAAACCTAAAAGCAAAGAGAAAAAAGAAGAAGAAAAACTATATTATAATACATATAAGAAATCATTCAGCCCAGATTTTGAATGCATCATTAAACCTTGACTACACAAAATAATATGGATCAGTCTATAGAGGGAGGGGGGCAAGCTGTCCTGATCAAATTGAAGATCCACCTAGCCTACATCTCTGGGACTTGCCGGATATATTGAACTGCAGCTCCTATCACCACATGCCAACACCACAAGCACTTGCTGGGAATGATGGCATATATAGTCCAACACTCCTTAGAAAGCACCAGGCTGGTCTAACTGATCACCATGCTCCTGCATTTTCTTTTAAAAGAAAAGAAGGAAGATCTCTCCAGTAAAAACTAAATCCTATGGCTAAGTTATACAGCTCTCAACCCTAAATGCTTCTTCCTTGCTTCCATAATTTCCTCTCTTAAGGAAGGCTGCATACCAGATTCCACACTTTTGATTCGCCATCACAGTTGCCTTATGCATTTTGTTGGGAAGAACAGCCACCCCATCAGTTTCAGTGCCGATGGCCACTCTAGGGAGAGCTTTGATCTTGGGAAGTTGCTCAGGGTTAAGCTATTCAAACAAATGCTCCTGCTACATCTCCATCCAGTCAGCATCAGACTAATTAGAACAACAATCCTAAGTGTGAAGAACATTCTAGAAGTGGAAATGTTGGTTCTATCAACTTCAACTCAAGTGAAGGGAGCAAACTCAGAGTTAATCACCTCCATTCCCACCCTCCTCTCCACCCTCCTCTCCGCCCTACGGCCATAGTTGGTCTTGCAGCCCCTCAAAATATTATGATCAGTATATAATCCAGTGTTTCTCAACCTTGGCAACTTTAAGATGTGTGGACTTCAACTCCCAGAATTCCCCAGCCAGCAATTCTGGGAGTTGAAGTCCACACATCTTAGAGTTGCCAAGGTTGAGGAACACTGGTATAATCTATCCTGATTTGGTTTAACACATTTAGTTACATTTTTCATCCCTACTAGAACCACCAAAACATCTGAATACGTTGTCGTGACTACTACCTGTGCCTCTCTCCAAGCCCTAATTGGCAGTCCCGTTATGCCATACTCCCATTTTACTGCAGGCTCCTGTTGTTAAAGCAGTTTTTGACAGCTGTTTTTGACATACGCTCACCCACACATTCTTTTTAATGCTTGTCCCGCTTGGCTGCATTCTGCTTGCCTAGTTCACATGGCAAAGCTATTGCATGATGTGATGAGGTTGTACTTTAGTTGGTTTGTTGCAGACCCTAATGCTCTTTTGGGGCTGACAGAGAGGGATGGGTCCAAGGTCACCCAGCTGCCTTCTGCACCTCAGGGAGGACTAGAATCTGGGTCTCTCTGCAACTAGTCCAGCACTTCAACCATTACACCACAGTGGCTCTACACACTGAGAGAGAGAAAGACATCCACCATGCCATGCATTGAGGTTTGTTTCATTGAGAGTGATTATGTGCCATCAAGTCATTTTCAACTCCTAGCGACCACATTGATATATTTTTTCCGTGACAATCTTTCCCTAACCTGGTCCTTCAGCTCCTCCAACAGTGAACTCATCGCCATTGTGACTGAGTCCATCCACCTTGCTGCTGGTCGTCCTCTTCTTCTCTTTCCTTCCACCTTTCCCAGAATTAGCGCCTTCTCCAGACAGCTAATGCTTCATATAATGTGTCCAAAGTAGGATAATTTGAGTCTAGTCATTTGTGCCTCAAGTTGAAGTCTGGATTGATCTGTTTGATGATGCACTGGTTTATTCTTTTGGCTATTCAAAATTGGTATTCTAGGGAGTAAGTGAGGCTTACAGAGTAAGAATGTAACAGTGAAGCAAAGAAGGAGGAGGAGGAGAATGGACACCATCCAGCAGAGTTTTAAAGAAAAGCATTCAATGATAGTTATTGCTTAGAGCAAAATTGAAGGGGGGGCCCTGATTTCAGGCCCAAGGTTCAGCAACCTTCATAATATTTCAACAGGAAATTGGAAACTTTCAAAAGCCGGCTCATTTAATTCAAGAGTTCTAGATAAAAGGCACGCATCGTCCCAGAGAAACATGGATACAGTTATGCGCGAGGACAGAAACTGGTGAAATATTGGAACATGCCACACATTTCTGCAAATGTAGATATAATATCTGCACTTGAGCTTCCCAGAAGGCATGTCAATTGACTTCCCATCCAAACCACCTCAAAAAAAAAGAAAGAAACTTTCTTCCAGATAGTTTTCATCCCATCCAAAGAATATCCTAAAACTGTGGGATCTCTTCAGCTCAATGGATCGCAATTCGTCTCGTATCCAGAATCTTCTCCCCATCTCATCCAGTGCATCAACCATTAGTTAAAGCAGCGTTTCTCAACCATGGCAACTTGAAGATGGGTGGACTTCAACTCCCAGAATTCCCTAGCCAGCATGGTGGCTGGGGGATTTTTGGGGTTTGAGGTCACCCATCTTAAAGCCGCCAAGGCTGAGAAACACTGAGTTAAAGGCAAGCAGCATCAAACCTGCTGGCTTCCTTCTTTTCTGCGGTGTCTAATCCAACCTCTGCCAGAGCCCAGGCTGCGTTAGAAGCTGCGGAACGGAAAAAGAGGCATTTCTATCTCTTGATTTGCGCTCTCCTTGGAGAAGGGAGAGACAGCTGGCAGGAAGGGAGCAGGGCAAGAAGATGAAAGGGAGCCCGTTACCATTATATTGGCTGGGGA